AACCACACCTAATCAAAACATGATCTTGTGGAAACTCGACCAACTTCAAATCGTTTATAATGAGCTACGCTTTTATATTGAGACGGTTTCACTGTGCACAAATATTTTAAGAAAATTTCCTAATTTGAATACTTCAACAGTACTGAGTTAAATAGTTTGTCAAAATGACACCGTTCGATGGTTATTTGAGTATGTCATTTGAATATAGAACAATGACCACAAAACAGCTAGGTATATCATTTCAATTCATTTTACGTTACCGAAGATTTGCAACACATAGAATGGCGTGTATAAAGTCTTCTACGTGTATTTGTGTCATATTCCTTGCTGTGCTTTCCCAAGTAGAATCTGGGGCTTGTAAACATGGATATTCATGTGATAGCCCAGCCTACTGTTGTCAAAAAGTCAATGTTTGTCGATACAATTGTATTGGCGAGCCTTGTACTTCCTCTAGCCACTGTGGGCCAGGCGAATATTGTTGCAATGACACGTGTGCCTTAAACTGTTCCTCCTGTTCTGTGAATCGCCACTGTTTATCAGGTGAATATTGTTGTGATCGTGGTCAAAGTCTTATTGGCAAATGTGCTGGATCTTGTATTGGAAAATCGTGTAAATATGATTCGCACTGCGGATCAGATGAATCTTGTTGTTCTAATGGAACATGTGCCTCAAATTGTATTGAAGAGTCTTGTAAGTATGATAGCGACTGTGCATCAGGTGAATCTTGTTGTTCTAATGGAACATGTGCCTCAAATTGTACTGGCGAGTCTTGTAAGTTTGATAGCGACTGCGCATCAGGTGAATCTTGTTGTTCTAATGGAACATGTGCCTCAAATTGTACTGGAGAGTCTTGTAAGTTTGATAGCGACTGCGCATCAAGTGAATCTTGTTGTTTTAATGGAACATGTGCCTCAAATTGTACTGGAGAGTCTTGTAAGTTTGATAGCGACTGCGCATCAAGTGAATCTTGTTGCTCTAATGGAACATGTGCCTCAAATTGTACTGGAGAGTCTTGTAAGTTTGATAGCGACTGCGCATCAAGTGAATCTTGTTGTTTTAATGGAACATGTGCCTCAAATTGTACTGGAGAGTCTTGTAAGTATGATAGCGACTGCGCATCAGGTGAATCTTGTTGTTTTAATGGAACATGTGCCTCAAATTGTACTGGAGAGTCTTGTAAGTATGATAGCGACTGCGCATCAGGTGAATCTTGTTGTTTTAATGGAACATGTGCCTCAAATTGTACTGGAGAGTCTTGTAAGTATGATAGCGACTGCGCATCAGGTGAATCTTGTTGTTTTAATGGAACATGTGCCTCAAATTGTACTGGAGAGTCTTGTAAGTATGATAGCGACTGCGCATCAGGTGAATCTTGTTGTTTTAATGGAACATGTGCCTCAAATTGTACTGGAGAGTCTTGTAAGTATGATAGCGACTGCGCATCAGGTGAATCTTGTTGTTTTAATGGAACATGTGCCTCAAATTGTACTGGAGAGTCTTGTAAGTATGATAGCGACTGCGCATCAGGTGAATCTTGTTGTTTTAATGGAACATGTGCCTCAAATTGTACTGGAGAGTCTTGTAAGTATGATAGCGACTGCGCATCAGGTGAATCTTGTTGTTTTAATGGAACATGTGCCTCAAATTGTACTGGAGAGTCTTGTAAGTATGATAGCGACTGCGCATCAGGTGAATCTTGTTGTTTTAATGGAACATGTGCCTCAAATTGTACTGGAGAGTCTTGTAAGTATGATAGCGACTGCGCATCAGGTGAATCTTGTTGTTTTAATGGAACATGTGCCTCAAATTGTACTGGAGAGTCTTGTAAGTATGATAGCGACTGCGCATCAAGTGAATCTTGTTGTTCTAATGGAACATGTGCCTCAAATTGTACTGGAGAGTCTTGTAAGTATGATAGCGACTGCGCATCAGGTGAATATTGTCGTGATGTTTATCGAGGTCGTGGTGAATGTGCTAAATCTTCTCTTAGAATACAGTGTAACTCAGACAACGATTGCAACACTACTGGAAAATGTTGTTACAATAATGATTCTTCTTATAAGGAATGTAAAGATTGCGAAAGTGAATCTACTTTGGGTTGGCTTGTCGTTGTAGGCAACAACAACAACAACAACAACAACAACAACAACAACAACAACAACAACAACAACAACAACAACAACAACAACAACAACAACAACAACATACACCACAACAACAACCATTGCATGTTCAAAACCTTGAACCACACCCCAACGAACCCCCATCACCATACCCCGATTTGTCCCCACCACCATACCCCAATCAACCTCCACCACCATATCCCAATCAACCTCCACCACCATACCCCAATCAACCTCCACCACCATACCCCAATTTGTCCCTACCACCATACCCCAATCAACCCCCACTGCCTTACTCCAGGCTCCCCTTACCACCGTGTCAACCTCGAGGCAGAATCTCCTCACCCCCATACCACAGCCAAAACGTTTCACCAGGACCACGTGATCCTCCAATGGAAACGACCCCACACGTTATATTCAGAGACAGGGACAGTGTTGACACACATTTCTAGGAGTTTTACTCTTGTAGTTTATTTTGACGATTATCATGCAATAATCGCTCCATTACTGATTATTTCAAAATGGCCGATTAATTGGCTCATCCCTATTATAGTATGTTAATTAAATAACAAAACTCACAATATTAAGTACATGTTTATATGAATGCAGACGCATTTCAAAATTTGATACTTACCATTATTGGATTTTTTATATAGGTTACTCAATTGACAATTATTAACAAATGTTTAATAGTGTATAGTTTGTAAAATAAATAAATAATGCTACATAAATAATAACATGCAGTTTCACAATTGATTTCTTGTTTAATTTTATTAAAACCATCACCAGAGGAAAGTGGTCCCCCTGTTGAAATCGCACCATACTTTATGTTTAAACCACAGCCATGGTCAAATATTCTAGAATTTTACTCTGTGAATTTAACTGGTATTTTATTAAGTTTATTTTGTATGTTACGTAACAATGAGTAGGCTAGAATACCACTTAGTTTACATATGACAGGATTTCAATATTTGATACAAAATATTTTGATGTATTTTGTCAATCAACAAACAAGCTCTTAAAGTAGGTTTGGTATATAATCTGTAAAATAATGTGCAAATAAAGTCAAAAACAAAATTAATTTCTTGTTTCATTTCAAGACCAAACCGTTCTAAAACTATCAAAACAATTGGGTTTTTCTCAAGGAATTATTGGACAATTTTCTTACAGTTGAAACAAAGCTAAGCTTGATTTTCCAACAACTTATTATAGGCTGCTCACCAAATAGATGCGTGTAAGTTATGTATATATATGAATATATATCTTGTATTAATTGCCTACTGACCAATTATGCAGGCGGCAAATTAAGGACTGTTTACATGAGCCCTAC